ATTATGAATCTGTCAAATCACCAGGCTGTGACAACATCCCCAGAGGATCAACTAGGAATCCTCCCAGCACTAAAAAGTTGTTCTAGAATTGACACTTGGTCTCTTGCTGTGTTCATCTCAGTTTGATTCAGTTCTCCCCCAGAGAACCTCCCTCACCCATCTCCACACCTACTAGTTGTCAACTTGGTAGATTTACTTGGTGAATTTCCAACTCAGATACCCTGAAACYCTAGTTTTCTGCACAAAAGTTAAGGATATTGATATTCTTTTTATAAAACTATCACAAAAAAATCCAACATGATAGACAGAAAACACCGTCAAAATGTACTGTCTTTCGTAAATTGTAAAAACTGGGAATTATCATTATTTTTATGGAGGCCTGAGAAGTACATGGAAGTGAAAGATGTGGCTTTTCTCCAACAGCAAGAAGTGGACCAGAAGTGCCTGTGTTTGTAGGTGTGTGTTCATCTTTGGTTTTCATAGATTTGAACTSGGGGTGTGCAGAAAATGGTACCTGCTGAGTCAGAAGTGTGCCAAGAACAAGAGCTGAAGCTCTATTGGATTTTCCTAGTGCTAACAATATTTACTTTCTGTGGCCATTTGAGAAATGAAAATATAGACACATAAACAAAAATCGATTTCCCTAAGTTGATCTTTTCTTCTCTGTGTTTAGTGGCTTCACTTGAATTCTGATATTAGCAGTTGGAAATACTTAAGTGAAGGGTAATAAAATAAAAATAAAACACTTTTTTTTTTTTTTTTTTTTGCAGAGGAAAACTGTAGGACTTTTAGGTAATGGAGTTGAAATTCACCATATGTACTACCAACTTGACAAGTTGGAGGAATAGGTATGTATGTAGGGGATGACCAGGGGTCCTTTTAAATGGTTCATGCCTCCTCTTTATCAATCTGCAAATAGCTGTTTGGGAAGTCCCTACCATATTTGGCCATGACTTAAAAGGGAATCCATGTTTACTGGTGCTGATTTCACTAAGTATTTATTAATTTCTAAATCAACATTCTTAGCATGCTTCAATGCTTAGGGTGCATTGAATTTTTGTAAAAATGTCATGCATTCTAATTTTGTAAAAATGTCATGCATTTAAGATGTTTCTCCAAGATCTTGAGAAGTCTCTGAAGTGGCATGCATTCTTCCTTATCAGTCAAATTTCTATTTCCAGTCATTCTTCTTGTACAAATTAACTGCAATTCTAGAGGAGAGGGTTGTAGATGTGACTGGTACTGTCCTCCACCTCAAAGTTCTGTCCCTCCTGGGATTTATAAAGCTGAGGTCTCCCAGCCTCYTCCATAGCTCATGGTACCACATGGCTCATGCTGGATGATGTGCTGTGGCTGGAAGTCTGGTCTGTCACCCAAGCGCTTGAAGTCATTTTTTGCTTGTAAGGATCCAGTGGCTGACAATATCTGTGACCAACATGTTCTTCCTTGAACAGGATATCGAATGAGTTGTCCCTGGGCTACCAGAGACATTGTGGAGTGTGCATGGCAAGACTGTACTGACAGTATCTGAAACAAGCAGTCAACACGTGGTAGACGGGCCTGAAACCACTGCAGGAGATTGGTAAATACATATCACACGTAAAATTTTAGAATAGGGAAAAATCTATCCTGCTTATATCAGAGCACTAACAATGATGTATATAAAACAGACATGGACAAATTCATCCATAAGGAAGGAGGTGGGGGTAACACAAAACAAGGATTAGAACTAATGAAATCCTAAGACTTCTAAGTGAGACAAAAGATTTTCTTGGCYTACCTGGTGCGAACAACATTTAATCCATGCTGTGTTTCTCTCTTTTCTAGTGTTAAATCTTTTTTATTTCAGTAATGCATTGTGCCTTTGTGCCATCTGTTTGACCTTGAGAGTGTAAGAATTGAAGATTTTTCCTTCCTTTTCTAAAGAGAGGRCTTAAACTTTGTGTTCTGATGTTTTGTAAAAGCAGAAACATTCCAAWTGTATTAAAATCTACTTTAAAGGCAATTTGGTGAGGTGGGGTATGATATTTCTGGTCTAAATCCCTGGGCTGGGTGTTGTTTCCCAGAACAGCTACATATTCCTGAATTACTGATAGAATCACATATAATTTATGCTGTYGGTTACTGTGTTAAGTCCGATCTGGTCCTTCACCACGAAGCTCGGACTTCATGCTGACCCACAGCATGCCACCTTACGTGAATTCCATATGACCTCTATATTCAGCAATGGTGGGTGGTATAGAGCAAGTGAGTGGCCATATGCAATTAGAAATTCAATTCATTAATGTACCGACCCCAGGGAACTTGGGAGATAGTTTGATATGAAATGTGTCAAAATTCATACTTTCCAATCTGTGCAATAGCTGTCACATACTGGGCAGCAAATCTATGCATGTGGACTGAATTAATCTTGTCTAACTTTTCAAAGCACCTATAAATATATATATATATATATATATATATATATATATATATATATTTGATATAATGATCTACACATATATTCTATTTCCTTACTGAAATGGAAGTTTTCTTTTTAGATAAACACAGAAGTTCTCTTTGACCATTTGGGCTGATATTAAAAAGTACCAAAGTCTTGGGTGGATTATACACAACAGGCATGTGGTTCTCCCAGTTCTAGAGGCTTGACATCTAAGAAAAAAGAACCAGTGGGTTTGATATCTGGCAAAGACCCACTTCCTGGTTCTGTGTCCTCACATGATAGGAGAAAGAAGGCACTAATCTCATTCATGAGGACTCCAGCTCATGACTTGATCACCCCCAAAGCCCCATCTCCTAATACCATCACCTTGGTAGTTAGGGTTTCAACATAGGGGGCTCAAACATTTAATCTATGGCATGCACCATAAAAAATGGCAGAAATGACCCTAGATATGACCTAATAAATACATTTGTTGATGGTCTGTCACTACCAATTAAATCTCTTAGTTGAACCTAGAGTCTCTCAAGTGGAGCTTACTGCACGGTGTCTGTCTTATCCAGAATAAACTTATGGCTTCCTTCCTGGGTTTCCTCTTTTGGGGACTAGAATTCCATTCAGTTTGGAAATTCTTGCATGCATTATTTTACTGTGACATAATTTATTCCATGGAATCACAGTTCTAACTGAATCATTCTTATGACAAATTTCTGGTGTCACATCAACCCATTCAAAGAACTCATGAGCAATTGTGACTTAAACACAGAGAAATTGGCCTTGCAGGGCTCAGATTGCTCATCCTTTCACAGGATAGACTAGTAACCTCGGTTCATTGTCTAGATAATCTCAGTTGATAGATTTTTTTTTCAACCTTCTTGTTGAATTGGGTCAGTTCATGGGTAATTAGATCTGGGGGGCGGGCTATCAATGGTCCAAGACAGTTTTTAAAAAACTGAATCAACTGGGAAATGGTTTCATATAGATGTGATCTTCTTCAGAAAAAATAGAATAACATCTTAGGCAAAGTAGACAAACTTTGTGGCACAAARCGTTAGGATACTGGCTTTCTGAAAAACATCTGTGTAGCTCAGTCTCCTGTTCCACAGCTATATCTCCACACAATTGTTCTGCTAATTTTCAGTTTTGGTCAGCAGGTTTGAAGGAGGCTTGCTTTGTAAGTCATAACCCCATCGTCATGTAACCTTCAGCCTTGTAGCTTTTTGCATCTGCAAAGTTAGGARGCACCCAGGCTGCTCATTTCAATACAGAAAAACTATGTAGATGGGTTGATGGGTCAGAAGCCCCACACAGCCACAATTAGATAAAACAATTTGCATTTCAATTGCAGGAAATGGAACATTGCCATTCATCATAGGGCCAGTTTTATTTATTTGGTGTTTTAAGGACTTATTCATGAGGGTACACTGGGAACGATTTCAACAATGAAAAATTATGGAAGATATTTAATAGCATTGGGGAAATGAGCCCTGTTTTAGTGGAGGTTTGCTTATTTGCCAGTTATAAGAACAATTTTGACTAATTTAGAACTGACTTCATTCGTAGAATTCTTCTTTTTTCTATTTGAAGCAGTAATACCCAACCTGGCTTCAAAATGAAGATTTATATTCACAACTTTATTATATGGCAAATGTTATAAAGTTGGTATTGGCTTATTCAAAAGACTATATAATTTGATTCAATGGCTACTCTCTAGCTGAACAGATACCTTTCTTATTTCTTAATTAGGATATTGAAAATTCTAAACATCTTTCATTCAAAGACTATTTTTTCCCCTCCCTTTTAAGTCAGTGGGATTTTTACCGACACTCTGCAAGCCTCTGTTTTTGATGGATAGATTTGTTTTCAAAACTATTTCTTACATGGTGACTTCGTGCAGTCTGATTAAGAAATTTAAACATTGCTTACTGAGTTAACCTTTGGAAGGGAACATCTCATTTTAATGAGACCCTTGGGAGACATGAAGATCATATTGCCTAACTTCAGATTTTATGGTATGCTTCACGCTAAAAATAGCACAGAGCACAGGCCACAGTTATTTTCTAATGTAACGAGGAGATCACAGTGTGATGTCCTTTAAAAATGACAAAGCTCCATTAGTTAAAGGAAAATCTGCCTTTCTCCTTAAATAGTTCTGTCCTGTGATTACATGAACAGTGTCCCCCTGGGACATTTCTCCCAATTTCCTGCKTTTGCTGGAGCTACGTTTGAGTCTTTTTTTTTTTTTTCTTACTTTCTCTATTTGCGGTTTAGAAGGCAGAATCCAGGAAAGAAAGAACGGAGCCCATCTTCATCAGCTTGGAGCCAGCAAGCAAGTATTTGGAGAAATTAGGCTAATTAAGTTAATAGAAGGGGTAAAAGTGCAGGGTCTTTCATTTGCATAAAAGCAGAGGTTTGGCAGGCTTTATGCATTACTTATGTTACCAGTCTCAGGAGCACAATTATGATATGCATGGATTAAATATTCAGGGGTGAGTAAGGATAGAGCTCTGGTGAGGACTCGGCAAACAGACTTTAAACCCATCAGGTTTTTTCATCTAGCTGTGTGATGCTCTCCAGATTCTGGCTTTAGAGATGCTTTAATCCACTTGAAGGAGGAAGGAGAAGGACCCAGCTAAATCCCAAGGTATTTAAATTAGTCAAGTGGCATATCACATTACTTAAGTGGAGTGAATTTTTTTCCCTTGGTAATTCTTTCATGCATAAGTGACACTTCTTACCACCAGTAATTTTGCAGCTTATGGAAAATATAGAGAGGAATCAATCAACAAAGCCTTACTCACATATGAATTATAATGTAAATCAGATGATTTTCTGTTTCAGTCATTTGTTGTTACATCTCACATAGATTTTACTGATTGCCAAAGATTTTGTGAATAGAAAATGAACTGTTATTGGCACTTTTTAATGGGGAGGCTGGTGAATTCTGGTGAGTTAAGGCAGGAACAGTAGCTGTGYCATTTGCAGTGGTGGTGAGGAGATTTCCTATACTATAGGTTTTTATGGTCACTGAGACACAGGCTGTGGAAATAAAGGGAGAAAGAAAGGTACAAGCCATAAAGGACACTTTTGCATGAAAACAAACAATTGATAAGAGACCAGAATCGATCAGAAGGATTATTCGAATACAACTGATATTGCTTTGACCTTCTACTTTATTGCTTATTGTCAAAAAGGGGTTGGCAGCCCATACCCTTCCGTTATTTTAATATTGTCACAGAAGCACACTGTTTGAACAATATCTATTCTGTTCACATTAACAGCTTAAGTATTAGATGTTAGGCTGAGAGGAAATGAAAGTGAAGTCTTATGAATAATTAATGTACTTTCTTAGCCTAATGTGTATATGATATCCAAAGGATAGTTACAAGCATAATATTTGCTTGTAATAAATTCTTATTTAAAAGAATTATTGTTAAAAATCGGCCTGAGAGACATAACTCATTTAAAGAATATTGCTATTAAAAACTGTGTTGTGAAATAAAGCTCTTCCATAAGCCCTCTCTCTACTTGCATTTTGATCATCCGGACCTGTTTCCATCTCTCCATCTTTTCCTCTCCTTCCYACACATGCATGCACACCAGCATGAGAAATACTAATTTCTGAGGAAAACCCAACCATTTCTGCAAGCTAAACTGAAACTAGATAGAGATGATAAAAGCTTACTGATATAAAGTTCCTATAAAATCTTTGTTTCAAGTCGCCCTTGGTAAAGAGGTAATCGCAACGTGCTAAGAGTCTTCCAGTTCTTCATTGATTTAAATCTCTTTTTTAGGTTTCTTAATGCTAAACAAATTTTGGTAATACTATGATGCATTTCCTGTACATTTATCTGTGGATATTTCCCAAGTACACTTGCRTCATTATTTTCTCTCTCTCTCTTTTGTTCTAATTAGTTTTACACGATCAGTAGAATGCACTTTGACATGATTTTTGGACATCTCAGGACTCTTTAGATAAGAACATACAAGTCTCCTATGGAAAAGTTACATAAAAGGATTACATTCTTTTGCATTTCCCAAGTTCTTAGTTTGAAGCATTCATTTTCTCAATTCCCTTTATGATAGCACTTGACTGTACCGTGTGCCTTTTATTTCCAATGAACACAGAGGACAAAATGGCAGAGGGTGAATCAATGGATGAGCCCCTGATTGCTACAACATATGCAACATTTCACTGGCTGTATGAATCTCTCGATCCAAAACTGGCCTGGTCCTGAAAGGAACAATATTTATCATATTCTATCTTGGTATGGTGCCTTTTTTTTTTGCCAATGATCTTTTTATTGTTCTTATTTTATCTTAGTTTTATAATGGCCAGCTAACAATAGGATTTTGTTGATCCTAATTCACAGATGAAATCTGAATGCTAAGAGGCTACCTGACATCACAGCAGGAGTCCATGGCAGGGATCTGAAGGTGAGTAGAGAAGAAGACAGAGGAGGACTGGGCTGAGTGTAAGTGGTAAAGGGCAATACAATGAAGGGGTGATGGATGGTACAAGCCATGAATGGAATGAACGAGAATTAAATAATCAGGCACATGATAATGAAGAGTATGCATTGGGACTTCCCACTGCCACTTCCATGAGGCATGCTTCCTGAAGAGGATGGGACAACTCTCTTCCATACTTTACCTCTCCCTCCAGTGGGCTCCTCACCTGTGGTGGGCCAAGGGMCCCATAGAGCAGGCTCTGCTTAGAACCCATCACTCCTCTCTGCTCTGAAGCCACCAGGACCAGCCAGCCTCAAGAATCCCCCTGAAGATGTCCAATCCCCTACCAGAGCTCTTACCCTGTATGYTTCCCTTCAGCAGGGCTTTTTACTGGGCCTCATGAAACTCTTGGCTATCAACACCCTACCCCTTAGCCTCAATCTTTWCTTGAAATGTTTAATACATCTGCAAAGAACAGTGAGTAGCAGCCAYTAGTGAGGCAGGAGGAAGCTGGGAGGTGTGGAGTCCTCATTACCTGCTGAAGAAAGGGCTGGGAGGGAGGATGGACTGGTCAGGCATGTGCCATGCTGCTAAGAAGTCAGGGAAGGGGAGGACTCCACCTGAACTCTTGGGTTTTACCACATGGATGCCACCAGCCAGCCTGGTGAATGGTAATTGTCTTCATAGACCTGTATGGGTGAAATCAACCAGAGTGGCTTCTGAAAGCATGGAAGTAAAGGAATAGAGGGGACATGCACACACAGCTTTTGGGGTACACATTAGTCAGTGGAAATAGCACTAGCTTTGCTGCTGTGGTTAGGATGCTGTCTGAGTGTGTGCCCCAAGGGACCATGGGTTAGAGTCTTAGTCTTTTGCTTTCTGGTGCTGAGAGGTGGTAAGACTTTAAGAGCCTAGAGAGAAGCCCTAAGGGAACTGCCCATGGAAGGGATGGAAGCAGATTTCCTGGGACCCSGAGCTGTCTCAAGAGCAAGTTGTTGTAAGAATGAGCCTGATCCTGAGTCCCTCTCTGGCTTCTTGCTTCCAGGTGTGATTTCCACTCCCATGTGTGCTCCTGCCCCACCCTTGTGACACCATCCACTGTTAGTTTTGGGGGATGACTACTCATCTGTCCAAGAATAATTGAGGCATTAGCTGGTGTTGTGTAAATACAGTGATTTTAAAGACATAGTGGAACATTATACCATGTTTTTTTTTTCTTTTTTATGCTACCAGKATTGATTCAATATAAAGAGAAAAGTGAGTTATGTAGAAGACAAAAAAGGAATGTTCTTAAAGCAGTGACAAGAAAAAGGATCCAGGCTGGGCATCAAGGGACTTACTCAGATGAGCACTGGGGTATTCCTCCCTAGGGACCCCCCAGAAGGGGCAAGCCAGCCATTGGGGGGTCCTAAAGGAGCCTTGGGGAGTTCTGTTCTGATTGGTCTACATTATTCGCTACAGAGATGAGGGGTCTGACAAGGGAAACGAGGGTCACAGAGGAATGGGATAGTAGTGAAAAGGAATGAAAAGAGGTGGGTTGCCCTTGGCTTCTCAATAACAGTATTTGACTTTTTAATGGATGYCAAGTTTAATGGACATAACTTTCTCTAACCTCAAACATGTCCTACCTCCAACCCTCCTCATTTCTGTAAATAACATCATTATTTGCCTTTTGTTTAAAACACAAACTTGAAAATACTTCTGGATTTCTTCCTCTGAGGCATTGGGGAGCAGCAGGCCTTACAATTCCTAGACCTTTTGTACCTGACTTGGCCTCATCCCTCTGCCCAGTCCCAGCCTTCTCTTCCCTCTTCTCTCCCAACTGCTGATATTGCTGCCTTCCCAGAGCAAACAAAGTGCCTCTTCAAAAAAACAAAAAGACTCCCATCTTCAGAATCCCTCCCTACTTTCCCATCATATTGGGACAACCCAAATTCCTTCCAGTGAAGGCCCCAGAGCCACTCTACCTCTTCACCTTTGACCCCTCTCTCCTCACCCATGGGGCTTCAGAARTTTGGAACTCACCAGAGTCTCTTACTAATTCTACTATTAAAACAATTTGATGTACACAGTCCCATAAGCTAGAAATGCAGACAGCTCCTGTGAATTCCTTTCTACACCGTCCTTACCTAGCTCCACCACAAGCACTTGTGCATGATGCTGATACGGGTGCCCAGAGGGATTGTTTTTGTCTTATTCCAGATTTGAAGGGCAGATTTCAGCATTCAGCAGAAGGTATATTTTGCTGGAGTTTTTGCATTTTGTCTTTGTTCTGTTTTGTTTTGTGTCTGCCCTGAATTGGATTTAGGATATGCCCTTTCATTGCAAGCGGTGAATTGATTCTATGTTTCAGAGGTGGAGGTTCCTTGTCTATGGAGAGAGCAATCCTTTCTGATCTCAGCTTTATGGGGAGAGGATTTCCTGTGGAAGCCCCCACTTCTGCACGGGTCTTCCAACTTTGAAGTATTCATGAAATCTCACTTCACTTTTGCTTGATTAAGTGGTGCCCTCAGGACCCAAGCTGTGTATGCCTGGCTAAACCCTCTGTATTACAGGCTTACATTCCACTCCGATAATTGCCCTCTGTTTTGTTAGCTAGTCAATAAATTTTAAATACCCTTCTTTAGAGTTCAGTTAGTATCTTTCAAAGAAAAAGATGACCTGAATGACTTGGTGTTCCTAATAATTAGAAATGGAACTCTCTGTTTAGCTTCTAATATGGAACTGCTGTTATTTCCTTCTCCACTCTTTAAAAAMAATAGTGCAAATTGATAGCTTTAAAAAAAACATATTTCATAATGGTGGTCCAAGAAAAGGTCCAACTAGATGTGTGTGYGTCTGTGAATGTGATCCATTTCTTTATGTAAGTTTCATTGTACAGCTATGTTCTTCTGACTAAGAAATAAAACAGGCATCTCTAACTGAATTGAAATCTGGGAAGCATTTTTTTAAAAAGGAAAAAAAAATAGTCAAGTAAACTTTTCCTAGTATGTTTAACTAAAAGTAACCACTTTTCTAGAAAAATAACATGAAGCAATGTTTGTGTACTTCCAAGAAACCTGTATAACCTGTAGTTGCCTCCTTCAAGATCATCCCTTTTGATGTGGACTCTCTCTTTTCTTTTAAAAAGGTATTAAGTAGAGTTGTTTTTTTCAAAAATAGCAAAAAGTTAGATTTGGTTAAGTATGATGAATAGGAAATGTTCTATTAACATCTTGGCTGTTATGGATAACYGTGTGCATACACGCACATGACTGAAGAAATGTCCTTACTGGAAGCCTCTTGCTGAACTGGAGGCAAGTCTAAATGGAGGTCCAGTAGATATTCAGAGAGTGTTCACTTCCTCAGGCTTCATCAGATCAACTCCAGGACAAAGAAAACATTATCAGGTGAACCCAATTATTCCTGCTCTGCTAAGCACATCTACATCATCCAGGGAAGAGTAAGGAAAAGGCAAAAAAATTATTTAATTTTAGAGAAAAAAGTATATAAATAAGCAAATTCCAGGAGAAATTTTATATTTATAGGCAAAAAGAGAAATAAAGGACCTCAACCTCAATCTCAAACTTTTTAMAAAAATTAACTAAAAATGGATCATAGATTTAAATGTGAAACATAAAACTATATTTCAAAAATAACTTCAGAAAAGCWCTTCATGTAATCACATCAGATGCCACCACAGGGGACCTGGGGAAGGGAATGCAGGGCTTTTCTTCATACACATCTATAACTATTTTGAAGTAAGAACTTTGAACATGTAAGCTCATTTCTTTCTTCCTTCTTCTGCACCCCACAGGTCGAATTAGGTTACATATTCTTTGCTATTTGGGACACACGTACATACACACACACATACCACAAACCTAATGCATCTCACTGTACATCATTCATCATTTGTACGTTGACTTGAATTTCTTTTTTTTGGAGRGGTGTTCTGGAGATTGAACTCAGGGACACTTGACCACTGAGCCACATCCTCAGCCCTAATTTGCATTTTATTTAGAGCAGGGTCTCATTGAGTTGCTTAGCGTCTTTTTGTTGCTGAGGCTGGCTTTGAACTCAAGATCCTTCTGCCTCAGCCTCCTGAGCTGCTGGGATTACAGGCACGTGCCACTGTGCCTAGCTGGTTGATTTGAGTTTTAAAACAGCTTTGTGCATGGGCACACGAGTATCTCTGTAGTGGACACAGCTCATCCATTCTGAAAATTCACAGTGCAGTTGAGGAAATAATGAGCAACAGTAGAAGAACAATTCCAAAATACTGCTCAACATTGGAGCCCGTTTTGCAGCTTTTCACCTGCGATCATACAGATCATTTCTCTTGACCCCTTGTCAGAGGGTCAGAGCCCATTTACCTGAGTGAGCAAGAACTCATTTACTGAGCTCTATCTGCCACTGAGAATGATTAGAATCCTTTGGACTCCCTGAGGAGAGAATATTTGAGACCTTTGTATTCTTTGTGACAACAGCAGCCAGAGTGTTTCAGTAAAATCTTGCTTCCTTCAAGGCCACCCRCACTTATTGTATTTAAAAGTCCGAAGAAAGGGCTGAGAGATTTATCATCTATGGGCTCATAATAGTTTATGGGGTCAGTTTGGCTCTGGTGTTTATTTTCCTTTGGAGTACATGGAAGGTGCTGATTCATTTTGGAAAGAAAAAGATCCACTGGCAAATTTACATTCCATTTTTTCACTGATATGATGAGGCAGTCACTTTTAATATGGACCTAATGGAGAGTGTTTTTAAGCCTCATCACTTGGAAATTGAGAATATGGCTTTAGAGATAAATGTAAATGTATAGCAGCTTCATTGAGAAATACCTCTGAACTTGCTGGCTACCTCATCCTTTGGTTTCTTTACAGCACAAAGATGTCATAGTTTGCATGACATAGCAAGTGTTGTCTTTATTTATTATATCATTAGTGGTGAACATCTTATAAGGCCAATGCTTTATTCTCTTAGTATCATACAAATAGGCATGAAAGGT